GGTTTCCCAAACGGCCGGGTGGGAGGACGCCTGCCCGGGCCCGGAGGCAGAGGAGAATGGGCCTGGGGCGATTCCCAGTGCGAGATCAGGCCCCTGCCCGCCACTCCCTCCAGGCTCTTCCAGGGTGCTGGGGAAGGTGAGGAAGGCTGCTCAGTGGCGTCTGCCTGGCAGCGTCAGGTCCCGCTGAAAGAGGATGGTACATCCAATTCCTCAAGGGGGGGGAGCTGGATGTGCTCCTTCAACACTCAGTCAAGGATCTCAGCACTGCCAAGCAACGGGGGGCACAGGGTCAAGCAAGGACCAGATGCAGCCCTGCTCTCGCCCGTCATATTCAAGATGGCACAGCAGGGAGCAAGAGGGGCCCCCGCTCTTCCCTGGGCCCCCAAGGCATCCTCGCAAACATGGGGTCCCGCACCCGTCTCCCATCTCCCCCGAGAGACCCCCTCCCCCGGGATCCCATCACGCCAGCCAGCGTGCTCCGGAGACAATGGGTGAGCCTTTTCTGTTCCAGCGCATACAATATTGGTCATTATGTGAGAAAACGCACGAAAGGCCTCTCTTTCCACTCCCCCACCACAAGCCCAACTCTGAGCGAGGATGGTACAAAGCCCGCTTTGAAGATCTCACGGCTCCTTGCTGGCGAGCGGCTCCACCGAAGCCCTCCTGTCCCCCGCCGCCCCCCCTTCTATCGGTGGTTCCACAAAGTGCTCCCAGTTGCACAATCCAGGGAAGCTCCTATGGCAGTGGCGTCATTTCTATGCCCCCCGTCCCAACCTAGGCCACCCTGGGTGGTAGCGGTCCCTGACGGCATGCCAGCCACAGCCTGTAACGCGAAGCTGAAACAATCATTGGCAGCCTGTAAACAGACATTAAGGAGACCGGAAGAATGAAGGCTAGCCACCCTCGCACGTCGGGTTCGGCTCACCTTCTGGCCCGGCGCTTGAGGGCAAAGGCAGGTCTTCAAGCCCCCGCCCGCCCGAAGGCTCACAGGACTGGGGGTGCTGCTCTGCAGTGCCCAAAGCCCCCCAGCATTGCAGAGGAGGGGCTCACCAGAGCGAGGCGTGTGTAAGGCTTAAAGGGGCCTGCTTCTAGCTTAGCCACCGTCCCAGCGGCTCAACCCACCCAGGCACAATTCTCCTGTTTCTCACAACAACCCTGCAGTGTGGGTTAGACGGGGGAATAGGACTCGGAAGGACTAGATTCAGGGAGATGGCAGGGTTGAGGGAGGAGTCCTCGAAGTCATCTAGCCCACCCCAGCTCCCACTACCCGAGCAACGGTTCTCCAGTCTCTTCCTGAGGGCGCCCAGCTGCCCTCCCCGGTGCTAAAGCAAATCTCCCCATCAGCCGGGCTTAACGGCTAACGGCGCTTCATGGCCGTCTGATCACGCCCCTTTTGCCTGGAGGGTTCCAGGCATCAATGGGCGTGCCCTCTTCCCTCCTGCTCTTGGCCCTCCTGCGGCGGAGGGCTGGTACGGGGCCTTTTTCTGTTTGCAATGGGGCCCCTGCTCCCCCCGGGTCCAGATGCCCCTCGGCCATGGCAGGCTGGGTCAGGAGTCCCACCGCTGCAGGGGAAACCCAATGGGCCCCCCTGACCTTTGCTCTCTCCTCCGCAGACTGCCTGGGCACCCCGATCGTCTACACCCCGGTGAAGGCGGATCTCTCTGGGAACATTAAGGTAAGGGAAGGCCCAGTCTGGGGGAGGGAGGGCCGTGAGGCTCTGAGGAGAGAGGCTGGTAGGCTGGATCAGGCCCAGGCTGGCAGTTGGTTCGGGTGTGGCTGTGCCTGTTGTGGCTTGTCAGTGAGGGCGCCGTAGGAGTAGGAGCCCGGCTGTGGGCTATTCCACAGACCCTGGATTAGTGTAACGGGAAAGCGGCTGTTCTTCTGAGGTGCAGAAGAGGCTCCTTTGGCTTCACAGGGAGCAGGATTAAGGCGGCCGCTCATCATGCGCCCACACGCCTGGCCCTTCCGCCAGCTCCGTTGATCAGCTGGGCCCAAACTATCCGTGGGTCAAAGTCATGATTCCGTTTTGGTTCCATTTCAGAAAATACGTGCAGTTTATGAATCCAACCCAGCCAAGTTCAAAACCCTTCAGAACATCTTGGAAGTGGAGAAGGAAATGCATGGGTCGGCCTGGCCAAAAGTGGGGGCCACCTTGGCCCTCATGTGGCTGAAGAGGTGAGGGACGACCTCTGCTCCTTAGGAGTGGCTGGAGGACCTCTTGGGGCCCCCACATGGGGTGGGGGGCCCTGGCAGCCGCTCTGAGGGGTTTTCTCCTCCTCCTCCTCCTCCTAGGGGTCTCAGGTTCATCCAGGTCTTGCTGCAGAGCCTTTGTGATGGCGAGCAGGATAAGGAGAACCCGAATCTGATCCGCGTGAACGCCATCAAAGCCTACGAGCTGGCCCTGAGGAAGCACCACGGCTGGATGCTCCAGAAGCTCTTCCTGGTGAGTGGTCACTTCGGCCAGAGCCCCCAAGTGGGCGAGACCAAAAGGGGGCCTCCAGCCAAGACCCAGCTTGCCTGCGGAAGCTGGAGGTACCCCGGGGGCGGGCAACACCCCTGGACCTCCCCCCTCCGAAGGCTTCGGGGGTCTCTAGGGTGGAACAGTTCTAGCTCCTGTGTTCTGGCCCTGCGGGTGGGAGTTTTGCAAGGCCAGGCAAGCCCCGGATTCCTCCCCGTCCCACGCTTGAGCGCGACAGGCGGAAAAGCAGAAGCAGAAGAGCAAAGGGCCTGCCCGTCCCCTGACTCGCCTCCCTCCCCAGGGCTCTGTCTATGCTCTTCCCTACAAGTCGGATTTGCTGAAGGCCCTGGAGAAGGGCAAGGAGGTCAAGGAGGAGGAGACCTTACAGAAGATCCACCGGTTCCTATCGAAAGCAACCCCCATCCTCGACGCGATCTACGAGATGTACACAAAGATGAATGCTGAGCTGAACTACAAAGCTTGACCAGGCCCTCCCCTCCTCTGCCAGCCTGGGCCCCGGCTCCTTCACCTCCTCTCCCCCCTCCCCCCCCACTGCTCTGCAGCCCAGAAGGTGCCTTCCAGCCTCTCGAGGCCACCTAGACCGAAGATCTGCAGCAGCTGAAGGAGGCCACGGTGCTACAGAAATGCTCCTCCTCTCCATCCCTGGGCTGGGGCTTAGATGCTCTTTCACGGACTTACTCCTCCTGGGGAAATGAGGGGGGGCAGCAGCCCTGCTCTGCTCACTGGGGCTGCCTGGCAGTGAGAACGTGTCTTCCTCTGAGCGTCGGACAGCCAGTTGCCTGGGTAGAGCCGAACACGCACGAGAGACACTGGTTGTGCGCCAGGACTGGCTAGTGCAAAAATGTCCCACAAGTTGTGCCAGGAAAGCCCCTTCTGGGTGGAGCTCCACTCCTGGGGATGCAGCTTTCCGGCCGTGGGGCAGAAGTGGGTCTGCCTCACCTTCTTCTGGGGTGGTTTTCCAACTTGTCTCGCCCTGACATCCTAGCCGGGCCCTGCTTTGATTTCTTGAGATCTCCCAAGGTTGAAAACCAACCAACCAGCCAACCAATGCCAGCCAGCCTTCCGTGACTCTTCTGAGCCACTCTTGGGGTGAAGGTCTACGCGTCGTTTTGCACAACAGACTTCTTCAGGGAACCAGTTCCGGCTTAAAACTTGCTGTCATTTTCCGGGGCACAAGAACCACGCCAGGCCTTAATGGTGTCTCTACTGCTTGATGCTTTCTGCATGTGGTTTTAGGGAAACCAGACAATTGAAATAAAACGTAACGAGGGAGACGTGCAACTTCTTGTAGCTTTGGTTTGCCCAAGGAGGGCTCGGTGGGACAGGATGCTGCAAACCACACCGGCTGGGGATGATGGGGGTTGAGTGTAAAGCCTTTTCGGCTAGTGGCCAACACGGAACTGGGGAGCTTTAAGATACCCGGTTGGGTTATACGTAGGCAGATATTTCTGTCACTGATGCGCTCAAACTGTTTTGGAAACACCTTTTAGGGCAACCTCCCTCCGGCAGCACACCTGCTTATTTGTCTGCCAAAGTTCTGGGCCCGCCCAACTCCAGAGCAGCTCTGAATGCGTGAACCTGGAGGAGAAGCAGGCGACCCCCCCTCCAGCTGGTCCTGTTGCGCTTGGTAGATGGTGGGGAACATGGGAAGGGGCGGGGGCTTTGCCCTCCATGCTCCCCTTACCAGCAACTCTGGACTGCCTCTGGGCTCCCAGCTGGCCAGGAGAGAGGCCCTGGAATTTGTGGCATTGCACCAGCAGGGGGTGCCCTTCCCTCACGGATGGACTCACAGCCAAGGCTGGGGTGGGGAGGCCCCTGCAGCACCATCTGCACCCAGGAAGGGGGGGGGGTCAGCAGATGCAGGCCTCCACGATTGGCAGGAGGAAAAGCAGTCAAGGGGGAAAAGAACCCCTTTGGGCCTGGGTGGGCTGTGAGGGTGTTGAGTCCCTGGACACAGAACGGTCCCAGGACGGGTCCCCCCTCTGCCCACACTGCGGGGCAGTCCAACCCACTGAGGTCCAGGGGACTGAGTCGCAAGTGCCCACTGGGCTGCAGCCTCCCCGCCCCCATCTGCCCAGGGCTCAGTGTGACCAGGCTGGGAGCCAGCTCCACTGGGGCCCCTTGGCACTCCTGCTTCCTTGGGCAGGAGTGTAACCCAGGCCTGTTTGGGCTGGCCAGAAAAATTCCTCCGTCCCTTAAGCCCTTGGCTGATCCCAGCTACAGCCGTCAGCCCGGCTGGAGGGAGGCCGAGCAGGAAGGCCCCTGAGATTCGGATTCAGATAGAGGTGGCCCTTCCCCCGAGGAGCCTGGAGGACTCGGGGCCCCCTTGGAGAAGGCAGATGGACGGCAGCTTCCCGCGTCCCTGCGTCCCTCTCGGCCTTTGGGGGCATGGAGATCCCAGTCCTGTTCGGCAATCAAGAGGGGGCCAGGAAGATGCCCCCACATTTCCCAGCTGCCTGGGAAAACTCAGGGCCCTCCCTGGAGTGCAGCCAGCTCTTCACGCCGACCCCTCTTGGCAGGGAGTTCCACAGCTTCTGGGCTCTCCCACCCTCGGACGATCTGGGCGGATTCTAGCCCTGCAAGGACTCTCCTTCTCTATTTGCCCCACGCCGAGCAAACCACGCCGTGGTTTTAAAGACCCTTCTCTTGTCCCCTTCAGAGTTGCAACTTTCACTCCTTGGGCCTTTCTCCAGCTTCACAACCCCTTGGCTGGTTCTCTGCCCACCCTGCTGACAACTTTTCTACAGAAAAGGGGGAAGAAACTCTTCTTTTGTGACGCCTCTTGGGTTGACTGGAGAGACAGAGAAAGCTACCGAAAGAAGCTTTGTAGCCCCACCCGGCCTCCACCCTCGGCAAATTCTTTTCCCAGGTTACAGACAGAGATGGGCAGGGTGCGTGCACAAAAACTTTTTAAAACATTTGTCTCATTCCACCCAGCTCCTTTTTCCACCCGCGGGGGTTCATTTCTGAGGCAGCCACAAGAGTTTGGTTTGGTTTCTTTGGGGGGGGGGGTTTCTCCCTTTCTTTCTTTTGTTTACAGCCCCCTCCATCCCCAAAATGGGAGACTTTCATCTGCCTCCTGGCCTTGCGCTGAGGTCAAAGGTTTCAGAGGGTGGTGGGGGCCAGGAGGGGCGGAGGGGTGTCTTGCTCTTGAGAACATCTGGAGCTTGCAGGGGAAAGTGCTTCCCTCCTGGAGGACATACCGAGGGTGGGTGGTGTCTGACGAGGTGACGTCTCCGCAAGGATGGGCAGGTTAGCTGGGAGGCCCCCGAGCTCCTTGGCT